AAGAAAAAAAAAAACACACACACACACACATCAATAGACTGGTATTAGCTTTATTTTTAATTAGTTAATTAATTAATAAAGTAGAGTCAACCACGCGGGTACATACAATTAAATCGCGAAAGTATTTGACACTACTTTTCGCATTTAATTCGTTGTCCGTGCGTTTTTTTTTTTTTTATTAGTTTTGTGAATCAATTTAGCATTCATCATCAACCTCATCTTTTGATATCGATTATTAACGCAAGCTTTTTCATTAGTTCGTTTCCGTTTTGAATCAATTATCTTCGATAAAGTCTGATATACGAGCGTAACCCTCCGGGCGGTTCGACGTCAGCTCCCTCTTACTCCGGAAAAGTATTATTCTGCCGTGAGGATCTTTGAATGATTCTCGGCGTGATAATCGATTCGGCGATCTGGCTATCAACCGGTTTGATAGCAAGCAAAATGGCCTGGCAGTCATTTTGCAAGGTCAACAATCCATTATCACGTTGATATCATCGAACATCCGAACGGTGGGGTTCAATACGCCGGACTCTGGGATGAGATTTGAGGTTGATTGATCGGCCAACCGGTGGCCCAACGCTCAAAACATCAGTAAACTTCGAATCAATTGATTTCTTCCGTCATTAGTTTAATTATAAATGAATAAACCATATTAATTAAGAATCGAGAGGGTATGAAAAGGGGGCTGCTAATGAGTTTTTTTAGTGTGTTTTAACAGGCAGCCAGGAGGATTCACCGAGGGATTAAAATATCCAATCAAGGACCAAAAAGTAAGGAATACACAAGAATAAAAGTGTTAATGTGAATAGTTTTGAAAGTGATTACCAGAAAATACTTATCAGTGATTGATTTACATGTGTCCAGATGGATGGATCACGGATCAAGGACCAAGGACCGACCAAGGATAAATAATATGAGGATTCTGCCAAGGGACCAATGAGACCGAGTCAAGGACTAAGGATTCCAGGACGAGGACCAAGGATTGAAGGACACGGAGGACCAGCCAGCAACAAACGATCCAAGGATACAAGAAATCAAGAAGGAACGAGGAAATCAGTGGACCAGAAGAGCCAACCAATTCAATCACGGACAAGAAGGAACAGGACTAAGAATCAACAAATGAGTAAATTGGTATTTTTAATTTTTTTATTACTTTTATTATTATGTAATCATTTTTTTTTAGCTCCCTTAATTATAATCCCTACTAATATTATTATTATTATTATTATTTATGTATTAAATTTTTTACAGCTCCCAATTTTAATCTCTACTAATGTTATTATTATTTATTTATTTAATTCTTTGCAGCACCCCCAAATTTTTATCCCTACTAATACTATTATTAATATTTATTTACTTCATTTTTTACAGCACTCCCTTAATTTTAATTCCCTCTAATGTTATTATTTAATTAATTTTTTTCAGCGACTCCTTAATTTTAATCCCTACTAATATTATTATTTATTTATGTAATTCTTTACAGGCGCCTCCTTAATTTTAATTCCGTCTAATGTTATTATTCAATTAATTTTTTTCAGCGTCCCCTTAATTTTAATCCCTACTAATATTATTATTTATTTATGTAATTCTTTACAGGCGCCTCCTTAATTTTAATTCCGTCTAATGTTATTATTCAATTAATTTTTTTCAGCGTCCCCTTAATTTTAATCCCTACTAATATTATTATTTATTTATGTAATTCTTTACAGGCGCCTCCTTAATTTTAATTCCGTCTAATGTTATTATTCAATTAATTTTTTTCAGCGTCCCCTTAATTTTAATCCCTACTAATATTATTATTTATTTATGTAATTCTTTACAGGCGCCTCCTTAATTTTAATTCCGTCTAATGTTATTATTCAATTAATTTTTTTCAGCGTCCCCTTAATTTTAATCCCTACTAATATTATTATTTATTTATGTAATTTCTTACAGCACCCTAAATTTATTATTCATTGTATTTTTTTAGTTCCCCAAATTTTAATCGATACTAATATTATTATGATTATTGTTCTTTATTTTTTCAGCCACCTATAATTTACCCCCTACTGATATTGTTATTATTCATTTTTATTTTCACAGCACCCCAAAATTGTACCTACCTCTTAAATTATCAATTTAATTAATTTTGATTTCTGTTACAGCATCCCGTCAAGTATTCAACTTCCCTCCCGTAATATTAATATTAAAAATTATTTTCTAATTTTGTTTGAATGTTATTTTATATTGTATGATTGTATGAGTGAGAAAATCATTATTGTGTGCGATATGTATGGTGTGTGGCATAATTGGGCCTCTGCAATAAGGTAGTCCAATTATGCAAGCTCCAATTATGGCCTTAAAAAGCCAAACGAAGATCGGTACAATTAATATCGTTACCGGTTAACGATATTAATTGTAGGTGAATGCGCACAGTCCGCTCCCCAGTCGCGTATTTTTTTTTTTTTTTTTTATTCAATAATGCGAATTATTTCGCCCAAACGAATAAATTATGTCTTGTTATTTGACTTATTCCTTTCCTTTAGTTTTAATAAGATTTTAAGTATAGCTCGTAATTAGATTTAAGTACTACTTCAACTTTCCTGGCGCAGCTTATCGGTTAATAAGGTAATTATAAAATATATTTAATAACTACTAAAAGAGTGTAAAGTAAAAAAAAAATTGAGTCTTTTAAAAGTAGTTTTTTAAATGTTTATTTATCAATTAAAAATACATGATGTAAAAAAAAGTCGAGTCTTTTAAGAGTATAGTTTTATGAAAAACTGTGTTTTCGGTATTTGAAATTTGCCTTGATAGAATTAATAATTCACAATCGACCGATCAATTAATGAAATAAAAAAGCTATTAAATAACATATAAAAACTTAAATTAGTTATGCATGTATTTCGCGTTGTACTATAATTTAGTAATACTACTTAATTAAAAAATAAAAAAGACACCTGGTTCTTGGTCAAAAATTCGTTGTCTGACCAAATTACGTTTTTCTACTTGATTTTCACAAAGATGACAACCGGGTCATGTCAAAAAAAATCAAGTGTCTGACTAAAATAAGTTTATATCACTTGATAAAAAATAAGAAACTCGGATTTTGTTAAAACATTTACCGCCTGATTAAATTGGATTTATACTACTTGCATCGATGAATTACAAAAAGCCGAACAAAGGCCGCTCCAATCAATGTGGTAACCGATTAAAAATATTCATTGTAGACAAAATGTTTTTTTTTTTTTTTATTTAATAAAGCTAATCATTTCACCCTTTAGTTGTAATTAGTTTGTAATTTAAAATTTATCAAGTATACTTTCAAAATTTTGAAAAATAAAAACCCTTTTTATAATTATAAGTGATAAACATTAGTTTTTTTTTTTTTTTTTTTTATAAGAATAAAATTTATCTGCCATGTTTAGTTTTATAACATTACAAAATTAAAAGAAATTATTTTTTGAGAATGTAATTTGAATTTTCGTTACCTTCAATCGGTAAACTTAATTTACCGATACACAGCTGAGAAATCTCTATAAAATTTAAATTCATATCATTCACCGGGATATGCGGGCGCTGCCAGTATAGTATGTATGAATAATAAAAAAATAAACAATATAAATATATGTATATACTATACATTAACTAAAACAAAAAAACAAAAGCTTTGATAAAAAATTATATCATTTTAAAGAGTATAAATTTGATTGATCAGTGAGTGAGTTTATATATAATAACATTATTTTATATTATCATAATGTTGAGCGCATAGAATTAAATAAATAATTAAAGATGAGTGGAGCGATAAATATGAGTTGGTTAAATTCAAGTGAAGCTGAATCATTGATCCCGTACTTTTATGATGACAAGTCAAGAACAAGAAGACGTTATGGTAATTTTATTCTTTATTTTTATAATAATAGTTAAAATTAAATGAAATACAATGAAGAAATTTTGTTTCAGGTCTTTTAGAAAGACCATCATTACCACCGTCAATAGAGGAAGTAACTTACAAAATATTCATGATAGGAAGACCTGGAGTTGGTAAATCATCGGTAGTCTCCCGATTTTCAGGTATAGCTCATGAAAATTACGTATCCTCTGAAATAAACGGTATACGTAAGACAATGGTCTATTGGCCAGTTAAAATTTGGGATAAAGTTGTTTTATTTCGTCTTAATTTCTGGGACACTACTGAAAGTAGTATTAAAAAATACAGCCACGTTTTACCGGTATGTATACACATACATAAACAATTTATTGTAAGAAAGATTTATATATAATATATAAATAATTATATTATACTTTATTTCAGGCATGTAAAGAAAAAGTTGATGCAATTTGCTCGATATTTAGCTTTGAAGATCCTTCAAGTTTCAATGATATACCCTATTTGATGAATTCGATGAGCAATATAAAGGAGAGACCAGCGAATGTTGTTATTGGAACGCGATACAAGCCCTGGTCAACATTACCTGTTACTGAGCTCCAGTTAAAGGAGTTTGAGAGCAAATGGAAGGTTAAGGTAATTAAAGTTGATGTCAGCAAAACGACAGCCCGGCCAGAAATACTTGACTGTGCTTATCAACTTAATTCTATTTGCAAAGCTCTGTGGAATAGGGATCAGGAGTTTATAACTAAACAAATCCATGTAATTTAGAGTTAGTATTCGATTTTATTTATATTTTATAAAAAATACATTCAATATTTTAATCTTAAACCCTTGTTATTAAAATAATTAAAGAAATTTAAATTTAGGTATAAGTAATAAGACTTTATCAATAAAAATGAATATTAATGGCATTATTTCAAGTTAAAATAATAAAAATAAAAACTATGCCGGTGATAATTTAGCCAGAGGATCTATCAGACAATAAATTCCAACGGCTGAGGAAATAAATCCAAGAATTCCAACGATTCCTGGGGTGAATTTAGTGTAACCCAGATTTGTCAAAGGTATAAATAAATCACAGCCATTTTTAATAGTATCCAAAACAACGTCTTTGTGGCTAGTCAAGTAGAACAATGCACGATATCTGTCGTATCGGTAGTTTTTACTATATAAATTAACTTTTGACAGTCTTCCTAAATTGTATTCTTCCATAATTTGGAGTATTTCATAGATATCACGTGTTAAATTCATTATTATTGTCATTAGCCAGTACTTGTTGGCTATTGTGCTCCATTTTTCAATATTTACTTTACATAATCCAGCTCTTCCAACCCAGATAATGTGATCAGCTAACAAATAAAGGGCATTTGATATTTTTGATAGCGTTAGTGTTATTCTTATCACAAGATTCGGATATTTCATAGACGATAATGCTGAATAAAGACTGTCTAAAAATCTTCCGAGTCGTAGCACTGGAAATAAATTATTATCAAATAAATATGTAATTAATTTTTAGAATTTTTGTAATTACATTTTCTAAATGAACTGAAGGTATACTCTAGGCTTTTTAAAATGTCATTTGAACGATAAGCCATCAATTTATTTTGTGTATAATACCATCCAGCACGGCTCCCATATTGACATAATCTGTAATTTTTTATTTTTATTATTTTAATTAATCATTCATTAAAATTAAAATATATATTACTAACCTTATTATTTTATCTCGGCCAACAGTTTGATTATTTAACCTGATCAATAAATCCATGGCGATTGAAATTAACTAATTGGAATGTATAACTTAAATGTGGACTTGGAACTCAATTAAAAGTTTATTTTATCAATCATTTTTTACACATAACTTTAATAATAACTTGAAAATTGTTGATTATGAATAAATAAATAATATTTACCTATTTGCTATTAAAAAAATCTACTCTAGAGAGCGTAACTATCAGTGTTTTTTATGTTTTATGTTTTATATATGATTTATTTTTTTAAAGCTTTGCCGGTACAGTAGAACGCTTACTAATCATCAACTGATTTTCCGCGTAAATTTTTTTAAAATGTTTTGCGCGCGCGCGCGCGCGCACATCATGTGTCTTTGTCCCGCTCCAAGGGCAATCGACAAATAGCGGCTTATATAGTGTGAGGTTAATCATAAATATCTCTGAGTAATATTTTATATCAACAAACATTAATAAGTACAAATGTATAAATATGTAAATTTAACGATAAATGATTTAGTTCGATAATATCTCTTGTCGCGATCTCGTGTGCAGAAAGTTATTTTACAAGTTATTTTTTTTTTTTTTTATTCCAAAGTTTTTTATGTTTTGTTTAACAATATATCATTGAAAGTATTTCACTGATATCTATAGATCAGTTTTGTTAATAAAACTTTAATTGAATAAATAATTGTCAACAATGTCTGAAATAAGTAATGAGTGTAAAAAAGTTCCTCGGTATGGTTTAATAATGCCAATAGATCATAAATATCCAGAACAATGGAAACAAACCCTTCGGGTACGGTGGAGAGAAGTTTTGAAGCTGTTTGGCTTGGGATTTCGGTGAATAATGTTATGCAAACAATAATTATTAACTTCAGTACTAATATTAATTATTATAATTTTCAGATTTCGATCATATTGCAGCCAAGTTTCTCGGGAAGGCCGTATTCCATTGATGGATTATTCAAACCTTGTGAATGACAGACAAATTTATGGTAAATTTATTGATTTAAATTAGTAAAATTAATTAACTGATGTAGACATTAATTGTTGAATTTACAAAAGGTGTACCAATAGGTGGAATAGGAACAGGATCAATAGGTCGTGGATTCAATGGAGAGTTTTGTCGGTACGCATTGATACCAGGAATTTATAAATACGAAACGGCACTTGCTAATCAATTTATTGTCACAGTTCGAAACACTGACGGCAAGACTATTTATCACCAAGTGTTATCGCCACTTTCGTAAGTATAAAAAAAAATATTTTAACAATATTCAAATTTTTGAATATAATTTATATTATTTATATAATAAAATGAAACAGCCGAGGCAAATATTTGTCTTCTTGGAAATGGGGATTTAACGGCAAGAATGCTAAGTACACAGGACTCTTTCCACGAGCTTGGACAGAATACGATATCAAAGAATTGAATGTTAAACTTATTTGTCGACAAATATCACCGGTAATCCCAAATAATTATAAAGACAGTTCTTTGCCGTGTGCAGCCTTCATTTGGGAAATAATTAACGAGTCTAATGTTGATTTGGATGTCAGCATTACATTTACATTCCAGTCTGGTATGGGCGGTTCTTCAATCCCAGGTATTTAGGTTTTGTTTTTTTTTTTTTTTTTCTCTCTTATTCAAATTAAATCCGTAAATCTAAATAATTAGATAAAAAAAAAAAAAAAAAAAAATTTAAGAGGATACTTGCTTACATAAGTAATGTTACGAACAAACAGTAAATGAAGAAAAAAAAATGATGAGATACATTATTATTCTAGGGGAAAAATGGACAGAATGTTTTGAATATAAAAATGAAGTTAGGGGAGTGATGATACATCAAGAATTGAAGGGTATGCCTTGCACGTATGCAATTGCTTCGAAAGCCAGTACTACGAGTGACGTTGACATTTCACGGACGTTGATATTCGATCCCTTTGGCGATGGAAGCGAATTGTGGGAGTTACTTGAACGTACAGGCAAACTTAATACCTCAGCTACTCGACTTAAATCTTCTCCAACACGTAATATTTTTTTATTATTATTATTATTTATTTATTTATAAATTTATATCCTTGAAATTTAATCTATCTGACGTATATATAACGTCAAATAAGACGAATGAGTTTGACATTTATCGTATAATTAATTTTTTATTTATTTATCCGTCACAGTGAAACATGTCGGATGCGCGGTATGCTCTTCTCTGCGTGTTCAGGCAAACAACTCACGAGAAATTGAATTTTGCTTGGCTTGGGATATTCCCAAAGTTCAATTTCACTTTAAACTCAGACAATATTTAAGGTAATATTCTCATTTTATTTTATACCTATTATTTTATTTTACTTTAATTTATTTTTGGTTATCATTCTGCAGATATTATACCAAATATTTCTATAATGATAAAGAAACGGTAGTAAAGGAAATATCCCATTATACGTTGATGAATTATAATTCATGGGAACATGATATTTACAATTGGCAACGACCCGTATTGGATGATATTGATTTACCTGACTGGTATAAAAGCGCACTGTTCAATGAATTGTACTACATCGTCGATGGAGGTACCGTTTGGTTGCGGGCTGATGAAACCGATAAATTTAAAAACTCCGATCCAAGGTAAAATTACATTTTATTTTATTTTATCATCATTTATTTATAAAAATAGTAGAATTTTTGCTATTAACAGCAATTTATATTTTAAAAATTTTAACAATGATTATTGTTTTAATTTAAGAAATGAATACGGTCGTTTTGCGTATTTAGAGGGCCATGAATATCGAATGTATAATACATATGACGTACATTTTTATGCTTCATTTGCGTTGGCGCAGCTGTGGCCAAATTTACAAGCTAGTTTACAGTACGATATTCGTGATGCTATTCAAATTGAGGACTCATCTTTGCGCACAACTTTTTACGATGGTACTAAATCTATACGTAAAGCCAAAGGTTTTGTACCACACGACATCGGGGATCGATCTCAATGTATACTCATCATGTTATTATAATTAAATGTGTTGGGTTTTTTGTTATTGTTGTCATAATTATCATTATTATTACTATTATCTCGACGTTGTATTATTATGCAAAAATACTAGTTTATTTCAATATTCCTGTACAAAAAAAATCTCAGTGCAGTGTGTTTTGTATTTAATCTGCAATTATCTCTCTCCTCTATTCATTTAGTTAATTTTTTTCATTATTAATAAATGTTGTTGTTGCTTTTATTTATTATTTTTTTTTCTAGTCAAGTGGACTGAAAGCTAATTCTTTTTATTTTCCCTTAATGTACTTACAAGGTATTTGGTTTGCTTTATGCATCACTCATGCAGTTTTTTTTACTCATATTTTATTTCAGCTATAAATTATGGTAATGATTCGATAATTAATAATAATTATAATTATAATAGATTAATTAAATAATTAATAATTCTTTTGCCATTGTGTCGAAATGTTTATAAAAATAATCACGTTGGGTCAATTATTATTTGATTAAAAATGATACAAATTATTTTATCGACGACATAAGTAGTGAAATATTAAATAATTTTAAACAAACAGTAAAGTAGTAAAGAAATTAATATATACCATAAATAAACTATATTGTTACATAAAATTACGCGTTATTATTTTTATTCATGTTTGGATCGTACCCGCGTAATCAGTGTGTAAGGCAGCCTCCGATCACGCGACATTTACTCAAACATAAACTTAGTAAAAATATATATCGAAAAAGTAAATTAACTTTTCGTAATAAATCGATTGATTGGAGTGATGTTAATCTCTCAATTGATATTTATAATTTACAATAAAACGTGACAAAAACACGGAGGAGCACAAGCCATTTTTTATTACAATTATTAAACAAAAGAACATCGGCCTTTTTATTAAATATTATAGTTAATTAATGATAATAATAGTAATTAAATAGGAGATCCTAGCTAGGATGAGAAAACGAATAACTTTTTTTTTTTTTTGAATTTTTTTTTGAATTTTTTTTTTTTTCTTTTAAATTGTTAATAATTTAAAATTGGGAAAGTTTGTTTGGATATTACTTTCGCGACCCTGAGGTGATGGTGATAATAATCATTGTAATAATAAATGTTGTTTTTTTTTTTTTTTTTTTTTTTTTTTTATTAAATTGTTTTATTTTATTAATAGATAGTGGTGATGGTGTGGTAACTCCCGCGATTAAAAACGTCTCGCCGTGATCGGAGTCATGTTGGCCGACACAAGGCTATGATGGATAGGGTGGTTGTGTTGTTGTGTTAATGATGGATTAAGGCTTTGAGGTCACTTTTTAATTTTTTTAATGGGTGGTTCCTGAGCGTCCTGTGAATCTTCAGTATCCTCACTGTCAGTTGGCCTTGATGTGTTGCTGCAATCTTCATTTTCGTTTGTTGTTAACGAATCGTTTGTGTCTTCACTAGCGACGGCAGCAGTGATTGGAGTCGCTGGTTTGTCCATAGAGTCCTCGGTGAAGGAGGTGGTCGTGCTATTCTCGTCGATGGCAGCTGGATCAATCGTTGCTGGTTCTTTTCCATTAACAACAGCTGCATCTTGATTGCTGTCGTCTGAGGGCTCAGTCGCGTCTCCATTGCTCGATGAGTGAGTTTTTCCATTTTCCGTGACTCCGGGGATCCCATCAAGCAATTCTGGCTTCATTTCAGATGCTATGTAATGAGTCCACAGTGCCAATTCTACTCGATGAGGGCTCCAGGTCTTTCCATTCGTCGCTGTAATTTTATTAATCCACAGTCATGGTCGGCCCTCGATTTTTATAAACGCCAGCTTTTTTTTTTTTTTTTCTATTTTTTTTTTTCTATTTTTTATTTTATCTAAGATGGACTACAATTTTCTCTTTCTCATCTCAACAATAAATATTATTGATTTAATACATCAGATAATTATAATTTATAATATATTATTTGATGTTGAAAAATCAATAGTTAAAATTTTAAAATAATTAAACGAGACATTGAAATAAAAAAAAAGTATTTGAATTTTTTGTTCCCTCAATTAAAATTAAAAATAAAAGGGCATTAAAGGCAGGCACTTACTCTGTTGGTTAAGCCTCTCGACGGTGGTCTGGATGTGTTGAACAAAATTGAGGTACTCCTTGGTCGTGTAATCAATGCCCTCGATTTCAGGTATCGCCATGAGACACTCATCAGCCATGAAGGGAGCGTGCTCGGGTGATGCGGCTGCGAGTAGTGCTGACGCCATCGTCGTCCCGACTCCTTTGAGATTCGACAGTGCTGTAATGGCTTGCTCCAAGTTTGGAAGTTTTTTGAAAGCTTTTTTTGTCTCAGCCATTACTGCTCGGGGAGTGTTTACTTTTACCAAGTATGAGAGCTGTGGGTAAAACTTGCCTCGCTAAAATTAAAAAATAAAAACAACCATACATTAATTACTCAACTTTATATTATTTTTTTTTTTTTCTCATCATCTCTTTGAACTAACGATGACACTTACTGTCTGCTTCCATTTCATTGTCTGAACTAATTCTTCGTGATTAAGATGGGCATCTTTGCCACGGGATTTTATCTTTTTTGGCAGTTCATTTTGATACCTGAAATTAAACAATTTAATAAAAAAAATTAAATTTTGGAGCTTTAATTTTTTATTTTAAAATAAAATATAAATTTAGTAATTGGTATATAGGATGTACAACGATGAGGAAAGAGTTACATTTGAGCATGCTGCGTCAGCATGCTTGCGTCCATTTTGAGAGGCGCTCTTAGCACGCAACGCGCTCCAACAAAAACAGCCTTGACACAATCACTCGCTCTACGCTTCTTTATATACTTCATTTATTATTTCTATTATTCTCTATAAAACTCATTACTCATAAATAAATAAATAAATAAATAATACAACAATAATTTTTAATTAAAAAAAAAAAAAAAACCAAGTAAATAATCAGAGTACAATTAAAAAATTTTAAAACAATTACGTAAGCAGCCAGGTGCGTAAATATAATTTGTTATTGAATTTGAAATAAACAAAAAAAGTGGATTGATTGGCAGATAAAAAGTTTAATGGGGTTTTTGTGATAATAGTGACATATGTCTGACACTAAGAGCTATCCACTAATGTATTAGTACCGTGTGCTAAGCTCCAACTCCAAAACTTATTAAACTTTGCAACGTTTAACTTCAAATTTTAATCGGGGTTTCCTCAATGCTGATGTTTAATAATATATTTAATCAGTAAATTGAGTATTTAATTAATTAATTAATTAATTAATGTGATTCAATGAATTTGTATTACAGAAATTAAAAGTAATACTGTAAGTGAAATTGAAATTCAATAGTATCGCTTATCGATTAAACAAATGCTGAGTAACAAACAATACAGTTTTTCATTACTCGGAATTTTATTGACAATTAACTTTTATATTATTCATTATCGTTATTTACTTAAAAAAAAAAAAAAATTATAAATTTTAAATAGACTCGGAATCAATAGAGTGAGATTGAAGAAAAAAGAAAAAAAGCTGACGATCAATAGCCGTCGCTACGATATTAATTTTTCCTGATGAACTCTGTTAAAAATAATATTAAAAAAAAAAAAAAAAAAAAAAAAAAAAAAAAAAACTAAAAAAAAAACTAAAAAGGTTTGTACTTTTATTAGCAATTGTCAAATAACATTTGTCATTGAATTTAAAGTTATTAATAAACGACATTTTAAAATCTAGTGGGTTATTATTGTCACTGTAAAAATCAATAATTACATAAAATTAAATTTTATTAAGTTCAAGTTAATTAGATCAATTGATAATTAAACCTTTAAATGAGTTATCTTTTGAATAAATAATTTAATTGATTAAACTTTTTTATACAGAGAATCTAAAATTATTTTTAGCGCTTCTATTAAATGTCAAGCTGACATAAATTTTTTATAGCGACAAAATGATTTATTAAATTTTTTACTCCAATTGGAAAAAACAAAAAAAAAAAAAAAGAAGCGGTAAAGACAAAAGGTCAAGATCTAAGTATTAATAAAAAGAAAAGAACCAGAGCACGTGACAATTGTGTATATTTGATAAAACTCGTGGTAACGATGATGATGATGATGAGAAAAGGAAAACAATTATTAATGATGACGTAGTTGGCTTGTGTGAGTGAGTGTGAGTGTGTGGGTATTTAAAGACTGCCTAATTGTCAATGTCTATAAGGTATATGTGAGTGTCTGTTAATAGAGAAGAGATGTGTCGGCGAATCACGGGGGGTGGTATCGGATAAACGAGGGGAAACAGATTGAGATTGGAAGTTGTGCGCTCAAATACACGGGCACAGTGTGCTACGTGCTGGCAAACTGACGAGTAGGCATGGTACGGGTTCATTGTCCTGTGGTGTGTACTGTGTGTTGTAAAAGCTAAACCCGTCGCTGCTGCTACTGCTTATATATATTATACTTCTGCTGGTAGTACTTTTACACTTATGTTTCTGTATACTCAAAACAGCTAAATAATATTGGCTTTACCAATATAACCATAAAACGAATCAACTTGTATGGAGGACTATAAAAATTAAATATTAAAGACAGAATTCTGAAAAACATTAGCCATGTGTGTAAAAATACAACATCTTTTAAGGACATATATTTTATGTAGATAATATAATGTAAATGTATAGAAATATAGATATGACGTTACTGTATTAATAATAATAATAATAATAATAATAATAATAATAACTTACCAATTGTCCAATTTGATAAGTTCCTCGGGTTTCTTGTTTTTCCTATCGGCCTTGAGTCTCAATGCCTGGGGATACAATTTAATAACGTGTTCGAATTGGCTTGCCGTACCCTCGAGAAAGAAAGTCGCCGTATCTCTTACGGAAGCCATTGTGAAAACTGTAATTTGTGATTAGACGTATAGAGGGCGACAGGAACGTCTCCGACAGAGCAGTATGTAGTATGTAGAATACAATCTGTCTACTATCTCTTTCTATCTTTATATATTTGTCGGTGCTTGTTACTCTGGTGGTTTTTAATAACTAAAATAAAATATATAATCTCCCCTCTCTTAATTTGCCAGTGAAAACCGCCGCGTGAGTGAGATGTAGTATTCTATTTCACCCTATCTCTGTATATGCTGGTTTTGCTTCTGTTGCTGTTACTCACACTACTACTATTTGACAACATAAACTCGTATTCTCGTATTTGCCGGTGACGGAACAACCAAACAGCATGGACATACAATGCGTACTATCCACGCGGTAACCTATAATACGATCTGGGACAGTTATTTATTATTTAATTAACTAGTAAAAATTTATATTTTATTATATTCTTATTTAAACACACCAACGATATTAACACGAAGCCGTTCACGACACGACTGGTTTCTCTTCCACTGTTGAAACCCACTATTCCCTCGACTATCAGACCAATCAGAAACTCGACAGTGCTTCTCTGTCAGACTCACGGTAATTTTAGTTGGAAAAAAAAAATAATGAAGAAAAAAAAAATAAAAATCCAGTCACAGTTTTTCTTTTAAATAATTAAAACTTTTTAAAGAACCTACGAGTAGTCGTAAGCCCGGTGCTGTACCGTTCACTACGGACTCAAATATAAACTCACTACGACTTCATAGGGCGCGATACTCAGTGCTTGCGAAATTTTATGTTCTGGTGGTGGGAGAGAATCGTGCAATCAAGCCCCACACTCGGTCCTCTCGCCGTCCTTGTTTCTTGTTGATGGAAGGGAAGTGCTCAGCCAATAGGGGGCACCACTTTACGGAGCAGTAAATACCGCCTCCTCGGTATCTTTTCCCTCTCTCTCTCTCTCTCTTTTAAACGTTCTCACAGCGTCGCTATTCTGCACACACGCAAGCCTTTTTTCTCTCTCTCTCTCTTTTTTTATCTTTATATATATGTTAAATTTTCGACTGTGTCACTCGTCGCAACAGCCACCGACCTCAACTGTAAACGACAATTGTTCGGCCGTACGTCCGGGAAAATTTAAAAATTATTAAATGCAGATACTCGTCGTCTGCAGTAGTACTGTCCGCTCTTCCACCGGCTTCAGACAATTATCTTTTTTGTAGCTCTGAGAACCAGCGCAGCGCTCCCAGATATTCTACCATACCAATGATGACTCGTATCGTATCGGAGTTTTTAAAGTAACCTAATACAAAAAAAAAAAAAAAAAAAAAAAAAAAAACTAAACAGTAAAGTAAATAAAAAAATAAACACAAGGTGAGGTTTTTAAAGTCAGTGCTTATCACCACAAGAGCCAGTATACTTTTCTCCACTGGTAGACGTAGTACAAGTCACCGTCGCCGTCGTTGTTATCCTTGTTATCCTTGTCTCTCAGTGCGATGTCACTCGTTCCATTTACGCTTCACTTGAACGTATGTCAGCAGCATTCCCACGGCTGGTGGTTACTTTTTTGAAAAATAGAAAAAAAAAAAAATAATAAATCATAAAAATTATAAATTAAATATAAATAATAACATCCAGTGTTATAATCAATAATAAAATTAAACTGATAACTAGATTTATTTATTTATTTATTTGTAATTTAAAGTATACTGTTTCTCGCATTCCCGTCATCACCACACACCACACAGAACCGCGACAACGACCATGACGATGACGACGATGACAATAACAACAACGAGGTGTATGTGTGTGTGTGTGTGTGTGTGGATAATGACCAAGTCAACGAGGCTACAAGTTGTCAGTGAGTGAGCAAAAAATATTTAAATTATTATAATAAATAAATAAATAAATATTTGCTCCAAAACTCACAAACAGTATTTATAATTTTAATTCAATTTAATTTAATTAAATATCTTATTAATAATAAAAATAAAAAGTATAACAGAGTGTTGTTATTTTTATAAATAATCAAGTAGGTACCGATTGCTCACCAGTAGTTGCTAGAGTTGGAGCCACGATGCACTTTGGTGCGTCAATGTATAGTTTTTTTTTTTTTTTTTTTTTTTTTTTTTTAAATTATTATTATTATTATTTCTTATTCTCTCGGGCTCAGTAGAGGCTCAGAATCGGGCACTAAAGTTGGTACATACAGTAATAATCAGGAGACGGTCACGTACGGTAGGGTGTCGCTTGTTAAAGACACGCGCATACGCCAATGATGATAATATTCACACACTCATTCTACTCACACGCTCCCACGTTTTGTATTTGGTGCGGTTAGAGCTGAGCTGAGCTGATGTACTATTATGTACTGTATGTTACAACGATTTATTTAAATCGAGATCGAGAACAGTATAGCACCACACAGTATGTATAAAGATCGTCAGCGTTTAAAGAGTTTTCAGTTGGAGTTGCTCAGGCAAAGTTCCAACGAAGAGCTACGGAGCTACGAGGAGAGAGTTTCAACTTGGATAATGTAACTCTAAATTCTCAATGCTCGTATCGGGTTGGTTGTTCGTAAGTTCGTATAAATGGTATACTATACCAGTGTACGTACGTAGGTATCGAATCGCTCTACTGCTCGGTACGGGTACGGATACAGTGCCTACGAAGGCTACGAGTATAAACCACCAGTAAAGTCGATTTGCTTTTAGTTTGCTCGTGCGTTAACTATAGTAATACCAACGCCCGAACGAGGGCAGCGCCATCGCTACCAATTGGGTCTCCCCACTGTTCCTGCATCATCATCATCATCATCATTTTAAATAATTCCCCAAGAGCCAACTGAGCCAAGAGCCACAGAGCCAGTCTACACTCTACATTTACACCGTCTGTATGTACATGGACATACATTTCTGGTGTATCAGTGTATCACGTTGCTCGCGCAACCGACCTTCCACGCCAACTGTCCCTCGTCTCTGGTTCCCCAGCTCCCCTTGGAAGCCACGCCAGCAAAGTCCGACTCCAAACTCTCCTCCAACAATCCCTACTACTTCCATACATTCTACTTCTACCTTCTACTCCCGTATAGCTGCGTTGCTTCTGCTTCTGTACTGCTGCTTAAAAAAAAACTACTTTTAATGCTTTGCACCCTTGTTGAAGAAGCCTTCGGGTGCAATTGAAAATTTTTCAGTCAAACCCTGTCGAGTATACGCTTTTCTTTTTTTTTTTTTTTAATCAATAATAATTTCTATATAAATCCTACAAAAAAATATCAATCAGATTTTATATTTGTCAAACATAAAATTATTATAAAATAAAATAGAATGTCCATCTACCAAGATAGGAGTAGAATTATGTCGCCACGACAAGGCTTCATCATCATCATCATCATCATCGTCGTGGTTGTTGTAGAATATAGAGGTAGTATTATATTTGATGTTCTGTTCTGTTCTGTTTCTGTTCTCTCGCTCGGTCGTGCTGCTGGGTAAACGACTAGAAATCGATGTTGAGGCTGCCTGGGAGGTACGCGCCAGTGCCGTATCCCGTACCCAACAGTACTCGCTCCAACTCACTCTGCTAACTCAACAAACTAAACTCTGATATCTATGATGGTCGTTACTCGTTACGCTATGTCGAGACTTGATCCTTCTACACCAGCTATGCATCATACCGTATACATACCCAGCTTTCATTAGTATTTTGTGTCCCACCAATACCAATCCAGTACCAGTACCAGTATCATCAACGTTAAATTTAATCGCAAAGGATGTTCGCGCGAATGCACGTTACTGCTTTTGTATTTATACGATCATGACGCCGCCGCCGCCGCCGCCGCCGACGACGACGACGACGACGACGACGACGCCGATGATGATGATGATGTTGATGAATACATACGAATGCATAGTCAGCCAGCATACAGCAGCATGTATGTTGATGAAAGAGAGACAAACAGTAGATAGAATAACACGTGAGAGAGCTTTCGCTAGCAATTCTCAGCAGTCACCAGCAGTAGTCTGTATTCTGGGACTAACAGGGGATTCAACATTATGTTCTGTTGAACATTCAGCTGCTGGGTGCTCCAACTAAACCGAATACAATCTCCATCAGCACAACAGGGGTTGCTTCTGCTCCTATCGCTCACCGCTGTCCTGTTAAATTTCAAATACTATCAAACGATTACGTGGAAATGTCCACCAATACTAACTCGTAAATTAAATTTATACATATATCCAGCTTACCCTGCACTGCCAGCTCACCAGAGGTATATATAATGGTATACCCAACACCAGATCCTATTTCTACATATCATCTACATCTGCTACAACTTAAGTTAAACATATATATGTATATACATTTATCTTGACGTATGTTATCATTTGAGACGTAAATGTAAGGATAGCAAGGATGACACAAATAGAGTAGAGTATCGAATCTGGATGAGACGTTAGGTGGTACAGCATCGCAATGCCTGACAATCCTTTCCCTTCTGATTCACATGGCATTACTACTACAACTACTACTTCTTCTTCTTCTTCTTCTTCTTCTTCTTCTTGTTGTTGTTCACGTGGAGTAGTCTAGCTATACAACATTATACATACATATACACATCCAGAATAAAATAGTGTACATAGATCTATTAAGGAGAGACACAGATGGTGAATTTATGCGCACGCATATTATATACAGATAAAGTTTACAAGTGTGGAAAGTAGTTGGCATTACATTGGCACATCGGTACATCGGTACATCCAGTTTCATCGGCTAGGCAGTTGTCGGTAGTCCGTAGTCCGTGGGATGTGGAGCCAGGGACGGCTCGTCCTCGGTTTTTAGTGTTAGTGCTATGCTGTACATGTTGGTGGCAGTACGGCGATAATCCCACCAAGCACTAGCACACACAAATTCAACCAAGCCCCAGTCCCAGTCCTTTATCTCTGCAAACACACATACACATATAAAATCGACCTACAATGTACTCACTCGCTCACCCGGACGTACTGCTCCACGTGTACTGTAT